GTGGTAGCAGCAGGAATTAGAGGTGACACATCCAATGAGCAAGGGAAGAGGAGGTGGGGCAAAAACACAAACAAACAACAACAAAAATGAAATGTTCCTTGACCCCAAGGTTTCAGCATAATCTCTGAGTGGACTCCTCCATTAACGTCTGTGACGTGTTCATACACACCAAGACATCTGTCAAGAGTCACAGTGGTGGTGCTTCTTTTGTGAGAGAGTAAGGGTGATGTCAACCAAAAAAGGCTACAGTGGCCTCAGGAGACAGTGAAGTGAGAGAAATTGAACAAGAAGGAAAATCCCTCCATCAACTGGGTAGCAATGACCTAATTATATGCAACCTTTGAGGACAAAAAGACTCTGGTTTGTTTTCTTTTTTCTTTCTCTTTTATTCTAAGAAGGTAAGTGGCAGAAAGAACTTAAAATGAATGACTCTAATGGTAACTGTCACACCATGATGACTTCAGGTAATCATTGGAAAGATAGCATTTAGGAAGGCTATGATCATTTTATGGGCCGGAGTCCTGCATGAGCATAAAGGACTGATTCTTAATTGGCACCATTATATCACCCACCACCTAAGGCCACAGTAAGCAAGCCTTCAATTGCCAGTTGCTTTCATTTATTTCATTTGCCTTGGTTAATTTCTTGGGTTCATAACTCACCTGGTGGCAGTAAAGAGAATAATTCTTATTCATGTTTCCTTCTGTTTAAGTGGCAGACCCCAGAACTGACAGACCTTTCATAATGAAGACTATTGTAATAGCATTGTGTTCTTACCTGTGTTTGCACTTTCTTATTCAGGCTAGGTGAAAATAGCTGCTCTCCTCTGTTTTTGTCTCTCTTATGAAGCAATATTTATTTTTGTATTTAAAGGGTGCTAGGTGTAGGTGCATTGGCAGTTCACTACGGCTGTGGATCTTGTGAGAGATGTGTTACTCTTTGAAAATGTTGTATATCTATTGCCTCATTATCATCGTATCATTTTTATGTGACATACTATCTTCAATCCCTGCATTTTTAAAGAATCTACATTTGCCACCTTTCCCTCTGGGTTATAAGTTATTATTGTTCTAATAGTACCTTGTAACCTGGTCATTTTGATTTCTTTCGTTACATTTTTTTCTTCCTTTTTGTATATTAAACTTCTTGGGTTTGTTGAAATCTTGCCTATTTTGTCCAACATTTCTCATTTCTAGGATAGTTTTTTAAAGATTCTTCTCTCTTGTGTAGTAGAATGTAAACCTTATTCTGCAAAGGCACCAGACACCTTTGGTTTCTGTGGTGGTCACCTCTTGCCCTCATTTCTTCTGCCCTTGCTACACTCTGTTGGGGTCCCAGGTGCCTCTTGCCCTCCTCTTTGTGTCTGGCTTCTTGTCACTTCTCATAAGTGGGGTAGTCACTCAGTATGCTACACTTCTTGATCTCTTTCAAATGCCTCCCGAACTCTACTTCCTCCAAACACTACAGCTTTCCAAGTGTCAGGAACATTATCTCTTTGATTTATGATTTTACTTTTTTCTATCTGTAAAGAGCCCAATTAATCACTATTTTAAAAACACAAAAAGATATTAGAGCATAAAAATAATAATGACTGATATTTTTAAACCTTTCATTGTGTGTTAGATACAATTTTCAGTGAATTATCTTATTTAATACCCAAAAAAGTTTTGTGTCATGGTTATCATAGCATGCCTATTGGTCTGATGACAAAACTGAGTCAAAAGTGAAGAAAAGAATTAAGCTATAACATGTACAGGTGCAGACATCCTATTTTGAATGCAATCCTCATATGTGTCTAAAATGTACCAATGAAATAATTAAATAAGAACTTAAATGATGTGTGGTAAGGGTAGAGCTAAAGTAATTATTTTACTTCAAAAATAATGTTAGTAATAATTATTGAAAGTAGAATATGTGAGATAATCATTCAGCAAAATTGAATTTGTAAGATGTCACTTGAACCACCCAGGAATTTTGTGTTGCAGAGAGGAAGTAGAAGGTTAAGTCTTTCAGTTTGGAGAAGAGTGAGGAAGCACTCTAGCTTACAGGGCAAACTTCCCCTAATTGGGTAAGCACTTCCGAACAGAACTTCAAAAACTGTGGAAGAGAATTAGTTTATAAGTCCTGCCAAAGCACTGAAGATTTTGTGCTCATCTCTTTGGTTAATGTTTTTCCAACATGATTCTACTTTGAAGAAAGCTTACAAAATTGCCATGCAAAACCCAGTAATTCTGCTACATGCCAATAGCAAATTATCTGAAATAGAAATCAGAAAAGCAATCCCATTTACAATAGCTACAAAAAAGATAATGTCTAGAACAAAACTTTAGAAGCAAAGAAATTGAGGAATACATGCATGCAAAATCAATCAACATCCCATATTATGGATTATCAGAATCAATATGGTTAAAATGTTCCTACAGATCCACAGCAATCTTTATCAATATATCAATGACATTTTTCACAGATTCAGAAATCTGAAAATGTATATTGACTCTGAAAACCTAAAACAGTCTTAATCACATAAGACTCTGAAGACCTAATACAGTCATAATCAAAAAAGCCAAAGCAAGAAGTACTATGTTACCTGACTTTAAAATATATTACAAAATCTATATTACTCACCATGTGGGACTAATGACTTATTAGTCACAATCAAATTTTCCTTACATTACTTATAGAGTATTTTTATACCTGGCATATATACAGAAAAATATACCAGTGGAACAAAATAGAGAAGTAATAGATTACTTCTCAATAAACTACTAAGAAGTAATTTGGAAAATTTACACATTTACAATCAACTGACTATTTTACATTTATTTATTTATTTATTTATTTATTTATTTATTTATTTATTTGGTACAGGGTCTTATTACACTGCTCTGACTCATAGTGATCCTATCCTCCTGTCTCAGCCTCCCTAGCACTGGGATTACAGGGGTGCACCACCATGCCTAGTTTCTGTGGCTGTGTTGGTGCCCAGGCTGGCAAGCCATGTGGTACTGGGGATTGAAGCTTGGCCCTTGTGCTTACCAGGCAGGCACTTAGGCCACTGAGCTATCACCCCAGCACCTAACTATTTTATTGATTGATTTTTTTTTTTTTGTACTGGGAATCAAACTGGGGACATTGGACTTGCCAAGCACGTTGTTATCTGGCTGAGCTATATCCCTGGCCCCCAAGTGACTATTTTAGAAGGTGATAAGAAGCACTCAGTGAAGAAAGGACTGGCTTCAATTAACGGTGACAGGTAAACTGGACATTCGCATATGAACACACTGGATCTCTATCCCCCACTAATTATGAGATTAGATGAAATGAATTAAAACCTTATATTTTAAAACTGCAACTACGAAACTATTAGAAAAAAACTAAGAGAAATGCTACAGGGATACTAATAATGGCCACAGTTTTATGGAGAAGATTCCAAAATCATAGGGAATAACAGTAAAAATAGAAAAAGTACAGTTGCATCATGCTAAAAGTCCTCTGTATGGTGAAGGAAATAATTACCAGAGTGAAAAACGCACAGGTACTGATACAATGTAAAATTTTATATAGACTACGTAAAGAATTTTTGAGATTATATATAGACTACAAAAGGAACTTAAAAACATTCAATAACTAAAATTTAAAATAAACATGAGACATTTCTAAAAAGAAGACATAAGGCAGGCCAAATAGCTCAGCAGATTAAAGCACCTGCAAGCAGACATAGGGGCCAGGGGTTCGATCCCCGGGCCTGCCATGCAGGCTCCAACCCTGGGGCACACTGAGATGGCAACTGAGACTGGGCATGGTGGCATACACCTGTAATCCCAGCTCTTGGGAGGCTGTAAACAGGTAGATCACTAGTCCGATTTAGTAGTGAGACCCTGAGCACCCCGTAGACCCTTCCCTAAAATACAAAAAAAAAAAAAATGAAATAAAAAGAAGACATAGAAATGTCCTATGGAAAGATGCTTAACCATACTAGTTAGCTTAAAAATGCAAATCCAAATCACAGGATTTCATTTCAACTCAGTAAGAATAACTATAATAAAAAAGACAAAAGGTAAGTGCTGGTGAGGTTGCAAAGAAAAGAAAACCCTTATACACTGCTTGTAGGTTGTAAATTGGTCAGCTATTATGGAAAACATTTTAGAAACAGAGCTACCAGGTGATCCAGAGACCCACTAGTGGACATGCATTTAAAGGAAATGAAATCCTTCTGTCAAAAAGACATCGACCCTTCTATGTCTATTGCAGCACTGTTCATAGTGTTCACAAAGCCAAAGCCAACCTAACTTTACCCCAGTGGATCTGTGGAGGAGGACGGGTGGTTCATATACAAAGTAGAGTAATATCTAGCTGATTATTCCCTACAACATGGGTGGAACTGGAGATTTGCATTAAGTGAAAGAAGCCAGGGGCAGAAAAACAAATACTTGGTGCCATTGTCAAAGCTGGTTCTTTTGCTAATATCTCAATAGCTGTTCAAGGTATTAGATGATAAATTAATGGCATGCCAGACTCTGAAGTTCCCTGGACCTCTTCTTCATCTTCTTTATAGCAAGCTGTTACTAGTGTCTCCTGGTAGAAACCTTAATTATCCTGTTGATCTTATTCTTTGGCCTATGCATATTTGTCTTCTTGGCTTTGTCTCCTTTAGATGTAAAACTATATTCCTATCTAAGGAAAGAATGCCTGGAGTCTACCGAGGGCCTTTAGGTAGACCCTCTGAAGAGTCTCTCTGACAGCTGATCACCGTCATGACCTACATCAGCCTAAAGAAGCCAAGTTGGTTATCACACATTACTCCTTCAGGGCAGTAAGGGGTACATTTTTCATAGTGGGGCATTTTACAGACAGCTACATTAGGTAGCAATATTGCTTGTGAAGATCAGCCAAAGATAAACACATTTACACAGAAGACAAGCAGAATCACAGAGCCAAAGGAAGAAATAGAGCTAAAAAAGAAGCAGTTCCAGAATTCAGAAGATGCCTGTGATGACATAATGCTTATAGATGACGACTGCTTAATGGTACCTTACCAGATTGGCGATGTGTTCATTAGCCATTCTCAAGAAGGAAAGCAAGAAATGCTGGAAGAAGCAAAGGAAAATTTGAAAGAAGAAATTGACGCCTTAGAATCGATAGTAGAATCGATTCAGCGGGCGTTAGCTGATTTGAGAGTTCAGTTATATGTTAAAATGATAAGAACAGATACTACACATGATCTTAGCCAAAAGGCTGAGAAGCGATGAGTTATATGTAAAATTTGGCAGCAAAATAAACCTTGAGGCTGATAAAGTTAAATATTTTATAAGTCATTTTTAATTTGCTTAATAAACTTGAATATTGTCTAAAATGATAATTTCCCTTCAAATGACATGGAAAAGAAAAGTTTCTTTTTTAAAAATTTTCATTTATTTAATGGAAACTTGCCTATTTTCTTTGCTTATTTTATATTTTTAAAATAAGTTAGTATTAGAGCCTGAGGATACAGCTCAGCAGCATAAGTACCTGCCTGGCAAGTGCAAGGTCCTGAATTTTGTCCCTAGTACCACTAAATAAATAAATAAATAAATAAATAAATAAATAGATAGATAGATAGATAGATAGATAGATAGATAAAGTCACTATTCAGCTATGTATTTTTCATAATGATTATGTCAACATTAGCAGCTTGATGTCATATTATTAAAATCAGTTAAACAATGATTAAAAAAAAAGAAAAGAAATATCATAGGCTGTCCAATAGGATTAGACCCACAAAGGAAGCCACATAGAATATGGGGTGCATTGCAGCAGTTGAGGAGCCACAGATGCATCTGCTGAGGGCCAGACCTCATGACAAAAGATGAAACACTGAGTCCATGCACTTCCTCTAAGGATCAGCAATACCTTGTGATGTCCTAATAGGATCAGTCAGTCACCTTGGGAGGACCAAGAGGAACCACTGACCCACCCCTTCAGGAAAAGCCCCTGTTGCTTCATGCCTGTTTGTTATGAGATTTGTTTCCCATTTGATCCCCATTTCTCCATTTGATTTTATCAATATTGCCTATCAACTGTGCTCATGAAATCTTATCAGTTGACCATAGCTTCGTCCCACCTCATGCCCGCCTTGTGATCTTTCACTTTTCCTGACCTGGGCCCACCTCACCTTGTAGTTCTGCTCTGTAAAAGTCCCTACAAAGGTGTGCCCTCAGCGACCTGCTCAGGACCTCTCTGTCCTCTGACAGAAGCTTTCTTTCCAATAAACACATTCTTCTCTTAAAAAGAAAGACAAGCACTACATGGTCCTAAGGATATGTGTAATACAAAATGGTTCATCTCATAGAAATGGAGAGAATTGGTAGAGCTTGGGGATAGGAGAGAAGGATGAGGAGCGGTCAGTGAAGGGGCACTAATTTCAAGTTAGATGGTAGAAAGAAGTCGTGGTGTGCATGTGCTGCACAGTTTGCAGGGAGAATGTAGGAACGAAACTTTTTAAAGGCTTGAACATAAAGGCATGATAAATGCTTGAAAAGATAGATGTGTTAGCCTGATTTAAAAATTTAAATATATATTTGTGTGGTTGAAATAATAATACCACATTATGATATATAATTTGATGTACATTGAAATAAATTTAATGAAAAGAAAAATACATTTTAAAGAAGAAATTTTCTAATCTTATAAAAACAAAATGTCTAATGGTGTTTGTAAATAGGATATAATGTCCACATCTTGCACAGCAATTAACCACTAAGAAGAATGTATGCAATGTGTTAATTATTGAAACTGTCCTACCAATTTGATTTGAAACTGTCTCATTGCTATTTGTTTATCAATAAAATTATGGAAAAAATAAAAATAAATAAATTGTCTACTATTTCAGTGCCTGTGTTTCAGGTAATGCCCTAAGAAAGGTGAAAAGTACTCCATAAATAATGCAAGCAAAATTTGCTTCTGTCTTATAAGCCAGTAGTCCCAAGTCAGTGTGGTTTCCTAAAAGCCTGGAGTGTGAGCTTCTGTGTCCTGACTGGACGCACAGGAGGTGGTTCAAGAGGATGGTCAGGTTTTATCTCTTTGATTCATCTGTGTCTTTCCTAGAAAAAGAGCTCCTCACAAAACTGGGATAGCTGCTGGATTCCTTTATTAGACAAGGTGTTAGGTGTTTTAGAGACAGTACCAGAGACACTGCTTTAGGAGACAACTGAGAAACAGACTCAAAAGGTAGTCTGTAATCCAGACTCACAACCAGGGGGCGCGGCTGGCTGGCATGTGGTGCTGGGGGATCGAACCGCGGTCCCTGTGCCTTGCCAAGCTTGTTCCAAGTAGGTGTTTTAGACCACTGAGCCATCTCTCCAGCCTTATAAAATTTAAATGTAGGAAAAGAACCAACATTTTGTGTAGAGCATGGTGGCCTTTACCCTGATTCACATAAAGTAGTATATGATCTTCAGACATGAAGCAAACTGAGTAAGGTAAACTTAAGTCTCCTTTGAATAGGAATATGCCACATTTTGTTTGTGTGCTGTGTAGAAATGTTCATACAACATTCTTGAGAAGAAAATTTTCAGATGCAACAAGCATTATAAACCATTGGTGCTGTTTTTCCAACAATTCACCCTGAAAAATATAATTAGCTGCACTGGGCTAAAGAAAAACTGCTCCTTCTTATTTTAATTTAGCTAGTGAGATAGATCATTCTGAAGTTCATCTCTTATCTTATTCAGAATCTGTCCTAGAGGCTTGAAGCAGAGATAAGCATCAGGACTTCTTCATGATGCATTTTGCCAGCTAAATTTTAATAAGAAGAAACTGTGTTTCTGTACCCTAGTGCACCTAATTGTGTTTTCAGGGTGAATGGTGGTAAAAACTGAGGAAATTATATTCTTGAATTGCTGGTCTCCTCTTTTTGTACTGCTTCAAGAATCAGACGAAGGAGTTTCCATTAAGCAGTAGAATTAAATTTGGGATAACACACTATTTTTTAGAAAAATCTAAATCTGTGTTTAATTTTATTAACAAGGAGCTTGAGGAACCTTGATGTGAAACTCTTTACATATTATAAAGCAATTTCAATTTATACTAAATATGCTTATCATAAAGACTCAAGCTTCAACAATTTCTTCAAATCTTAGGTGCAATCAATTATTGTAAATGATGTTCATAAGCTTGGAACTCATTTAATGCTCTCTATAGAGTCTTTTCCTCATAGCCTGTAAGGCAGAAAATCTTTCTCATGCAGTAAAATATCATTCATTTATTTATTTCATTCACTTAATAAGAATTACATTCAATTCAACTTCAGTTATTGGTTCATCTCGTTGGTGCTGAGTCAAAGCATGTTGCTATAGGAATTTGAAGATTTATAAAAAATACATCTCTGTTATAAAGGAATTTATTATTTAGAAATAGTTTTGATTAAGCACAGATATTCTGCTTTGCAATATAAAGTGAAATAATATTTCTAACACAGAAAAGTGTTTTGAGGTTCAGAGAAGTGTGAGGTGTCATTTGGAAGAGATTTCAAAGACTATTTCATGGAAAATCTGGCCATTGGGGCCAGATAGGATATAAACTGGTGGGGACAGGCATTGGAATAGAATTATTTTGCTGTATGTTGAAAACTCTGTTTTATACTTCTCGTTTGACTACAGAAGAGTTCAAATAGAATGTGCTATACTTGTGCCACATGCTTCCTTTGGTGCAGTTTTTAAAAACAACATTGTATTTCATTCTGTTCACAACCAACACAGAGATTCAGTTCATAAAACTATTCATACTATACCACTCATGGTTTTTATTGTTCTATTAATACTTATTTCTAAAACTATTTTGTTATTTTACTAAAATTTGTTCCATAATTCATTTAACCAACACACAATGAATGACAAATCATTTCGCTTGTATTTTCTAGGTAAACATTATTTGGCTGATTCTACATTTGGGAAATTTTGATTATATCACATCACTATCATTACCACAGATATTCCTGCTGGTGCATACAAGCCTTTCTACACAGGAAAAAAAAAAAAAACCAAGTCATGGGTTAGGTACAACTTCACATTAAGAGATGAAGTCCAATTTCATTATATACTGATCACTTTTTCTTCTTAATAATAATAGAGGGCTAGCGAGGTAGCTCAGCTGACTAAATGCCTGCTTAAGCAAGCGCAGGGGCCGAGGTTGCCCTGGCACCACATGCCGTTCCAGCCCTGCCACTGGGCATGCGGAGCCGGCTACCGAGTCCAGGCCTGGTGGTACACATCTGTAATCTCAGCACTGGGGAGACTGAGAACAGGAGAATCACTCTAAGTTCAAGCTGTGTAATGAGACCTTGCACAAAAATACAAAAAATATAATAATAATAATAATAATAATAATAATAATAACATAGAGTATCTATGGCTTTCTGGTATCTTCTGCACAGTGCATAGGTACTCTTAGATTTATGATGAAGCTATATCTTGATAAAACCAAGATAGGTAGGAAAATATTAGTTTATTCTCTTCTTAGAGAAATTTCCACACTATGGTACAGGGAGAATGAAACAGCAAACACAAGTTTCTTGTAACTAAAGGGAAAATGATCAGAATTTGGAGACAAAGATGATAGGAAAAAGGCCGATTTCTAAGATTTCTTCTTCTCTTTAACAATGGAGGGGAAGATTAGATTTCCATTGCCATTTTAAACTATTAAAGACTAGACAGAATATAGGAAACTACTTTTTTCATTCATTGGACAATTGGTTGTACAGGACTGCAACTCCTGACAGAAGGGAATTTCACAGAGAAAGACCTCGTGATTTCTACTGAGAGGTCTCATTCGGAGGACGTTTTATTCTGCTTTTTTCAAAAAATAATAAAAATAGCATAAAAACATTACAAACAATATATAATTTCACTGAACAAAATGATAGGAATTCAACAATGGTTGTTATTTTGCATATTGTCTTAAAATTAGCTGTTGAGACTACCAGATATAAGCGTGCAAAATTGGTCAAACAGTTTAAAAGTGAAAACTGGAATGGGTGTGTTAGTGGTAGATAAAACAGACTTTTGAACAAGAATATTAAAGTACATACAGAGCATTCACCAAGAATCATATACTGGCATAAAGTTATATAAATAAATCAACTAAAATCATACAATGTATATTTTTCTAATCCTGATAATTATAGACAAAGAATCAGTTAAATAAGAATCAGTTAAAATAAAAAATAGCTTTAAATGAAATAAAATTTTTATTTAAAATAAAAATAGCTTATAAAAGTAACTCACTATAGAAAATAAAACATGATAATTTAACATGTGTTCAAAGGAAATTATAATTAAACTATATTGAATTCACTGTACATGGAAAAAAAGTACAATAAAATATATAGAGAATGAGAAAAGTAAGATTTAGGAGGCTGCCTTGTGCAGCATCCTTGATTTCTGTGCA